AGCTGGTGAGCAGTGTGACGGAGGGGTCAGCAGTGAGCTGGTGAGCAGTGTGACGGAGGGGTCAGCACTCCAGACCGGAGGTTCTTGGGATTGTGTGCTGTTCCCCCTCCTGGGAATTCACTCACAGGGCTCCAGGAAAGGCGCTGCTGTACCTGGGCCCCCAGGTGCTCATTGTTCATGAGAATTTTGGGTTGGTTTGCAAGCCTTGTATATGTTAACTCTCTCCTTCTCCTGAATTATAAAATGAGCTGTTTTTCTCTTTTATGACCACTGTGCTAAAGGAGCTGACTGGACTTTGGAAAAAGAGTGAGAGGTGTGTGCCCAGTAAGTTTTTTTTAAAGTATATCATTCATCATGGAAAACAGATGGCTGATTAAAAAAGTGCCAAAGTACTGAGAGGCATCAGCACAACTCTCTTCTCTAGAGCGGATTACTACAGCCAGCTGTTAGATACTGTTTGCTAGGACAACAGTGCTAATGCATGGCCTCCCCACTGAGAGTGAAGTGTAGCAGGCACAGTCATGATGCTGGCAGCTGAAAGAGTGACTAATGGTTTATTTGTGACCTTATGTTTTCTGCTCCTACCATATTGTAAGGATGCAATGTGCTGGTGCTGTAATGCCATTGTTCTGTGCAGAAGGGCCCCATAGCTCTCTCTCTGGTGGCTGTTCAAACGCTGTTCCTGATGAAGACCTGGTGATTCCCAGAGAGGTGTACCCCTTTTTCCCTCTTGATCTGGAGGGAGGCTGGGGAGAAGGTAGCAAGCCCAAGATTCATGTGTATCGGCTCAGCACAAGCAGCCCCATTGTATTTTCGTTTGCTGTGCATCGTCTGTGTGGGTGTTTGAAGATCTGTTTCTCCCAGAACAACTGTCCGAGGCTGAACTCCCTATTAATCTGAGGGCAGCACCTGCGCCTACTACAGAGTGAAACAGTTTTATCCGATATCCTTACACCCCAGTGTTTCCCACTCGCATAATGACCCCTAGTATAAAATCATTTGCACGTTCTTATCTGAAAGTAACCAAGCACTGCTGTCGAGCAGTTTCATCAGAACTCTTTTCAGAATGATTTTGAGGCCAGGGAACTAAAAAAGGATACCCATCCGTCTCCAGGGCTGGTGTAGGAGGAGGGCATCCCCTGGTGACCAAGAGAGTTAAATTGTATTCAGCTGAGAAGCGAGGAGCCACAGGCCCATTGCTAACACAGCTGGAAAGGCTTTTCACCAGCAGGTGTTGCAGAAATATTTCATGTGAGACAGAATCTCAACGCTGAGCCTGTTGTCTGAACGTTGCTGGGTATTACTTTAACAGCTTGACTTTAAATCGTATGCATGCACAGTAAATGAAACATGGACACAACCTGTGCAGAATCTGTTAGACTTATCTATAAAATGTTTTATAGAGAAGGAGGCTATTGGTCTGATGAAACTGAGGAATTAAAAGAATAACTTAGTTTCCTTCAAACGTCTGGGGAGAGAGATGTGCCTTCTAATCAAACACTTTCACAGTCTTGCCTGCCATACATTTCAAAACAAGGTAATGAAAATGGGATCAAAATAAAATTTCTTTTGTGGTGTTTACTTCTTAATGTATTTTTGATGCCGGGAAAAGATGTCTCTGAGATCACCATCAGCACTTGGATTGCTGAAACTATAAGTATAAACCGCATAAACTTTTTGTACCTGCGTTGTGTATGTTCTCCATACATTAAATACGGCCATCAGTCCTCTGTGTTGAGAGCACCTGGAGTGCGGTTTGTACGGTTTTCATTGCTGCACTGTAGAGCTGAGTGTTTTACAGGAAGTGCTCAAGTGTGCTGTCCAGGCACCAGGCTCGCAGAGAGGGCGCTGTCTCCTGGTGTGCTGCTGTTGTCTGTGTTCGCTCTGAGGTCAGAATTAGCCAGGCGGTATCGATGCCTGTTTCAGCTTTCATTACTTTGTTAACCCACAGTCTGCGTGTGCAGGAGCTTCCAGGCCTTTTGACCGATCAGTAACGGGGGAGCCTCCTAAGCCGTCTAAATCGGGTTCAGATGCTTGACTGCAGCCGCGCCATGAGCCCACTCCTGCTTTTGATCAGCCTGGTGTGGTGAGCAGCGCAAGCGTGTGCTGGCCTCCCCAGTGCCGGCCGTGTCCTGCCGTTAGAGCCCAGCGGACCCCCGGCGCAGTGCCGCCCTGCTCCGGCCGCTCGGACAGGCGTCGGAGCTGGGTTGACCCCCAGGAGCAGGTTGCCAACGTCACTGCCATTCCTGCTCTCGCGGTTTTTGATCACGATGTTGTTTTTATAAGATGGTACAGCTTTGAACACAAAACAATACAGATACAGATGCAGCCGTGACAAAGCATTTACGTTTGAGAAAAACACAGGGCTGTTGGGCATATTTATATGCTATTTGTTTATTGATTCCTGGACTCTTTTTTTAACAAAGCTAAGGGGAGATTTATTAGTTCTGCATATTAAATGTCTGGTTCCAGCCTTCTGCTGTATATTAGCCTCTGCCTCAGTCTCTGTCGCTGTACACGACCAACTAATTGTTTTGCCTATGCTCTACTTGAAGAATGTATAAACAATGATTAAAGGAAAATATTTTTAGACTGTGCTGTCAAAAATCACTCTTCAAAAACACTCAAAGAAACTCTCTAATGATTGTGTTAATATAAGCTTTTTGAATGCGTATGTGAAACCCTGAATAAGTGGCTTAGTGATACAGTATGTGACTGTCTGAATAACAATACTGCCCATGAGGTTAATGCAGGCTCCAGCAGACATTTTCATCATTCTGACTTTTACAGAAATGGCCCAAAACAGTCACTGGTGTCAACAAAAATGACACAACATTGCGAATCAGCCTTGCAGGGGGTTGCAGGTCTGGGGAGCACGTCATCTCTGGTACGGGCTTGCTGGGGTCCTGGGCCTGAACCCCCCTGTGTTCCTGTTCCTGCAGATCCCGAGGATGATGACCAGAAGGTGAAGACACAGAGGCCCCGGTCCGCTGATCAGCCGGCCGTCTTTCAGGCTCAGACTGGTGAGGTTCTCGCCCGTGTTGTCACCTCGCTCTGTTGTCTCCTAATGTACATTTACATACAGTATCCTGCTGCCCTAGCAGGTCACGTGGACAGAAAGGCCTCCGAATTCAGGAAGTGCTGTCAGAGGAGCTGCCTCAGTAAGGTCACACAAAGGAGCAGGTCATCAGTTCAATCAAGGACTTCTGTTTCATGCCATAGTTAGAAAGCTGGGAGAACGTGCACAGATGTAAACATTCACTTTCAACTATTTCACAACTGTTTATATACTGCATCTACAGTCCGTACCAATGTGTGGAGCAATCCCACGAGTTCAGTAGCAGTGCAGAGGCTGTGCAGCTAATGAGGACAGCCAAGCAGTGGTCTGGCAGTGGAGCTGAACCTCGGCTTCTCGTCAGGGACCAGTCAGTCAGAGCACAGGAGACACCTCTGAGCCGAGTGAGCCTGTGAAGCCCCTCACACCTGGCCCACGCAGGCTGCGTCTGACAGGCACCCTCACAAAGAATGCATTCAGCAGTAGAAACACCATCAGGAGTAACAATAAAGCTTTTGAATCCTTTAATTGGCATTTAAATTCAGCACATGGGCTTCTGTGCCGAGCACTTCTTTCTTCTTTTCTGCCTCCCTGTCTTTCTATTTCTTTCCTTCCTCCTCTACCCCCCCTCCCCCTCTTATACAGCTGTGTGTTTCTTGAATGTGTCCTTCCTCTTTAGTTGGAATCTGAGGGGTGCAGGAATTGTGAAATGTATTTTGCACACATATCTGTGCAGACAAAACTAACCCACCAGCAGTGCCGGCTGAGCAAAGTCTGTATTCATTTGTAACGTCAAGTAATTGCAACGTGTTAGAGTTGTTAGATTTCTTCACATCCTGGTTGTAAGATGACATCTGTGATGTCACAGGACCTGGGTGAAAAGCGTGAATGGGGACAGAAACAGGGTGTTGGGATGCTGGGGAAGACGAAAGAGGTAAAGGAATTTTACCCACCCACTCCTCCAGCTACACTGATGGAATTAGCTTATAGCCCCCCTCCGAGGAAACGTTCCAAGCAGAACCGTGAGCTCTTGGGATGATGGAAGTTTCAACCTGTTTGCTGTTCGCTTCATTGTTGAAAATCCCTCTGTCCCTGCAGGAAGCTGTACAATGTTGCAAAAAAGGATTTTCCATTGTTGTAGACTCCTTTTGGTTGTCACAACCAGATGCCGACCACATCTGCATTTTGATTTCACATCTGAATGGCGATGAGCCATTGACTTCCAAGCGCAACACAATTCTAATTCTTTGCACGTCTTTCAAATCCTCACACTTCCACAGTCAGCACAGGGTCCAACTACACATCACCTGCTGCACAGATGGCTACCAAAGTCCATCAGATGTCTGAGACATGATCCATCTCTAACACCAAGGCATTGGTTGTTTAAAGGAAGAAAATGCTCTATGTGCTCTGATATATTGAAGTACATTTACTTATACTGTATAGGCATGGCTCTGTCACTGTATGCCTGATTTTAGAAATGATTTGCCTCATACAGTATGTTACTCTCTCAGTCATAAATGACACATCTGAGTGCTGCAGTCTTGGCCTGTCTGATGTCCCTCTCTAACACAGCAATGCAACCAAAACCTTTCTGATTGGAGAAGTGTTTTGACAAATCCGCAAGTCCAGCAATGTTTTAGATATTCAAAGGTAAATGTAAATGTTTAACAGGTGATTTTTTACAATTGTATAATCTTATTACATCCTGTCCTATCCCTGGTGGGGATCCATCCCTTCAAGACAGAAGTCAGGCAAACACTGTTATCCTTGTAAAGACAGCCTGCTCCCAGGGTGCTTCAATGGGTGGCTGGCCGTCTGAAAAGCTCATTTCACTGGAGCTCCAGTGTGTGCTCTTGTTTAGAGGACAATTCTGCCTTCAGAACCCACTGCTCTGTAAATAAAGCCCCAATCAAGGACACTTGTCAGCAGAATGTGCCCTTTGATACTTTGATCTGTCTGATTATCTTAACTTAGAATTTCCTGAATGGATTGTTAGCTAAAAAAAAATCCATAGCTGAAAGATTTATTAAATTAATCCTCCGGCTTAGATGATACCGCAGAGTGTTTGTGAATATTACAGATATAAATGTAATATCATGTTTATGCACAGCACCTCTGGAAATGTGGTGGCCAGCTTTTTAGCTTCCCCATATTTTGCGAGAAAGGGCTGATGGGGTGATGGTCGCCTGTCTTCTCCATATCTTACAAGCCCTTGGTCATACAATACGAAACCAGTCCCTGCGGAAAAATCTGCAAAATGCTGCAGGAGGCTCGGGGTAAAAACCAGAATCTCAAAACAGCAGGAAATGCAGTTCTGCTACGGTAGCTCATCTGTCCAATTCTCTTAGCATTAAGATCTTCACGGTGGCGAGATCAATGAAATAAATATGCCCGTCAGGCTTGACTGATCTTTCTCTTTCTTTCTTATGTTGCTTTGTTTCTGTCTCTGTTTCTTTTTCCTCTGTGGCTGTGTGGGTTTCTCTTTATTTTTGGCATCATATATCTGTCTGTCTGCTTCCCTATCATGGCGGCTGTGTGTCCTGTGCTCCTGTCTCTAACTGTATCGTGCGTCTGCTGCGTGTCCTGTTCTTCTGGCTGTGACTGAACTGTGTGATCTGTGCACCTGTCTCTCTGACCATACGGTGTGTCTGTGTGTCAGGAGACCCCGCGGCAGAAGAGTGGTCCCAGTGGAGTGTGTGCTCTTTGACTTGTGGTCAGGGCATGCAGGTGAGGACGCGCTCCTGTGTCTCCTCTCCATACGGCACCCTCTGCAGCGGCCCATTGAGGGAGACCCGGCTCTGCAACAACACTGCCACCTGCCCAGGTAACCACAACACTCCCACTGCCACCTGCCCAGGTAACCACAGCACTCCCACTGCCACCAGCCCTAGCAAACCTACTGACTCCTGCCCAGATAGCCACAACTCTCCTACTGACACCTGCCTAGGTAACCCCTGCACTCCTATTGACACCTGCCCAGATAACTCCTGCACTTCTACAGCCACCTGCCCAGGTAATGCCTGCACTCCTACTGACACCTGCCCAGGTAAAGCCTGCACTCCTACTGACACCTGCCCAGGTAACCACAACTCTCCTACTGACACCTGCC